TAATTTTACTCTCTTAGCAAATGGAAGCAAACTCATTAATATATTCAAGGTCACTTCTATACTTGACAATTTCTCGTGACTGTGTGACAGTCTTAAATAATTTTTATTTAACCCGGGTTTCTGAAACACCTCTCCCAGGACCCCATCTTGATTGCATTGTAGAAAGAAAAGGGCAGTGGTTGAGACTCTGTGCTTCTAATGCAAGGCATATGGGTTCGATCCCTGGTGGGGGAACTAAGATCCCGCATGGAGTGTGGCACACCCAAAAAAGAAGAAAGAAAGAGAGAAGAAAGAAAGAAAGAAAGAAGGAAGGAAGGAAGGAAAGAAGAAAAGAGAGAGGAAGGAAGGAAGGAAGGAAAAAAGAAGAGTTAGTGTGCTGTACAAAGCATTGAGGACATTTACCAGGTCTGATCTTTTCATTTTCTATGAAAAGAATTTCATAGATTAAAGGAAAATTGCCCAGATTTCATTGGCAACGTGAAACCTTCCTTTGTAAGACACTCATAGTCATGCAAATGCAGGGTCATTTCTTGTCTTTATTTAAAATTTTGATGTTTTGTTCAGCAGGCATGTTTTGTCATTTTCATTTTTCAATATTGAATTAAAATATTATTTATCTTGACATCTTAGATTTGGTGCCTTCTTACATTCCATGCTTAAAGAAAGTCCTTTTCACTTAACCCTAAAACTAACCTAGGAAATAGCTTTTGAAGTACTGTTGAGAAAGTACTTCCCTGGATGAAAGTATAGGTGAAAGTCCTGTCACCCTCTCCCCCGTCTACATTTTATAACCAATTTCCTGGTCTCTTTAACGTTTAAAACAATGTCTTAAAATAACACCAGAGGTGGTCTGAGACTAACTAAGGATGAGGTACTATTCATTTATACTATTCGCAGAGCAGTCATTTTTTGTGTGTGTGAGACAATTTTCCTAGATGCTGGTTCCCTGCAAAATTATTCAAGGGCTGTTAAGATTTCTTTCCATAATGTACCAGGCACCTCTCTAAGACTGCTTTACAGTCCTGTGGGCAATCCCTCTCCTAGAGTTTGCATTTGGGGGACTCAACATGCAGACCATATATATACATTTTAACCATTTTCCTTCTCTCTAAATCTTCTTTTTAAAAATCTGTGTCTCTTTACTTTTTAAGAAAAAAAATACCTCAGACTGCCTTCATCTGATTTCCTATCTCCCCACCCACTGCCCTTTGGTAACCACAAATCTGATTTCTTTTTCTATGAGTTTGTTTTTGAAGTATAATTTAATCTGTGTCTTAAAAATTAACATCAGAGGTGGTCTGAAACTAGCTCAGGATGAGGAAAGGGACTGCTTGTCTCATTTACAGTATTCACAGAGCAGCTATGTTTTATCAGACAACTTTCATAGATGCTGGTTCTCTGCAAAGAGCTTCAATTGCTGTAAGATTTCTCTCCATAATGTACTAGGTACTGCTCTAAGGGTGGAAACTTGGGCTCTGCTCCTTAACGGTCCTGCAGGCAATTCTTCTCCTAGAGTTTCCACTTGGGGCCTCAACGTGCAGACCCCTGACAGTGTTAAGGGACCTGCAGTCAGAGCTTCTCTTGGCTGGGCTGAGGGTGGACTATACAGGTTACTATTTGTTGTATTAATACAAAAGGCTGCTATCATTCACTCTGTTCGGATTCTCAGCCTGTAACTTGCAAACTTTATTTTATTTGATCTATGCAATGTCCTGTGTGACCACTACTAAAGTTGACTCAATTTTTTAAAAGAGGAAGTGAAAGTCTGATGTCATTTAAATTCAGGAGCCGCAGACCTTTGTCAGAGTGGAGCCTTCTGCTGCTCCCAGGCCCTCCTCTTCATCAGCTCTGAGCACTGGCCCTCAGTTGCACTGAGCACATGGTGCTTCCTTCATCCTAATCCTGCCTCTAAAGTCTGTTCTCCCTGCTCCCTGGAGGGCGGTCACCATCCCTGCCTCACTTTCCTGGAATCCACATTGGCAAGCACATTGTCACATATATGTGCAGTCAGAACATTTTTGGTGACAGAATGAAGAGGTCTGTATGAATTAACCCTTGTTGTTCAGTATTATGCCACCATTATCTGCAGACTATGTCAGAAAATGAGAGCTATAGTTCTGTAAATAATTGTGGAAGAATTCAAATCTTATGTATTAGACCCTTAAAAAAGAAATGCAGAGAGGTGTGGCTAGATATATTTTGGTGCAATTTAAGAAGTGTCAAAATAGAGTACAGGGTCAAACCTCTAAGTTCTCTTATTAGACTTAAAAAACGGAGTTAGATTGAGCCTCAGGTTTTTGTTTTTTTTTTGAGCCTCAGGTTTTTATTTCAACCTGAGTTGACTCACTTAGATGACTACATCCTGTTGGATTGAGTCTTCTGTCATTTTCCATGAATATATTTAATTTCCAGTGTAATAATACAAAAAAAGCATTGAAGATGTGACATTCTCTGATGCCCAAAATAGAAGAGAATTTTTTTTAAAGTGAGGAAACGAAATTGAGATAAGTACAGAACATGACAATTCTGGCCTAATTAAGAATCTAATTTGCGGGAAGATTTTCAGCACAGCTGGATAAAGGCCGCCACAGCCAGACATCTGCAGCATCACCAAGCTCACCAGAGGCCTGCCAACCTCTTCACTGATGACACCGAGGATGATGTTCTCCAGCCCTGTAAAATGTGATGGATGGAGCTGATCATCACCATTGCCATCCTCTGAGAGACCAGGAATCCGCAAATTCAGCGTTTCAGTGAAACAGCGCCAGGGCTACAGCCCAACAACGCGCAAAGCTCCTTTCCCTGCGCCGCAGCGGCCAGGAGCGGCGCCCGAACTCGCCGTAAGGGACCGACCGACACCGCCCACCCAGTGGGACCCGCCTCCGGGTCCAGTACCGCGGACTCGGGCGCTGCATACACGGGGAGAACACGGCCGTTGCCGTGGGCAGGAGCCCAGGCCCGGGCGAGGCGCCGCCGGGGTGCAGGGAGCGAGTGGGGCCGCGAGAGCAGTGAGTAAACTTCCCTTGATGCTGCCCTCACTCTTTAGGACACATTAATCCTGAATTGATTACTAATTAAATGTTACAATGCTACTGTGAACATGATTACCAAGGACCTACCAGACAAATTACACAGACTTTTAGTCTTTTTCAAAAATGATGATGACAGCAACTACAAATTCCGTAGCCCTTATAAGGGACTCACTTAATCTTTCCAACATAGTTGAGTGTTAATATTCTCATTTCCAAAGAGCCACCTGCTAAGGCTTTATGTGAATAAAACAATCTGATAAGTAAATGGCAAATCCAGGTTTCAAAACCTAATATGTCAGATTCCAAACTCCACTTCCCTATCCACACCATAGACACCTGTGCAAACTGCATGTGTTGAACCATCCCTTATTTTCTAGAAAGCCCTATACTTTTCTCGTAACATATTGATATTCCTTTGTTGTCTCATACCTCGCTGTTACAAATTCCCTATATTTTCATTAATTTTTGTCCACCTACAAATTTCTAGATGAGTTGAACAAATTGCAAAGTATCCTGATTACTTTACATAATAAGCAAAGTAAAACTATCAACTGGTAATTATTTCTGAGAGCCTAAATGTGATCAACAAAATTAATAATTCTAATAATTATAAAATAATCATATTTAATTGTCCAAGATGATTCATATAGATTGTTCAGTTAATTCTCACCATAAATTTATGAGCTGCGTGCTAGACAAGACCCTTGAGAGTTTTGACCCCTGCACCAGATTGGATTACAAACATTTCAGGGAGTCCTCTGTAGACACCACCAAAGCTCTGGTGGATTCAGGCAACAAATACTTAACGCTACCAACTTACATGGATATGGGAAATGATTGGAAGAATATAAGACGATGTATACTAACGGGTAAAATGTGAGGGATGGAGCAGAGCATCCCCACGGCCATCAGCAGCGAGATCAGGAGTCCAGAAATTCAGCACTTCACCTGGACCACCGTGAAAGGGAGCTCAGGTCCTCCGCTAGGCAAAGCCCTCAAAGCTACCTTCGCTGCGCCCCAGCGGCCGGGAGGGGGCGCCCGAACTCGCCCCAACGGACCGACGGGCACCGCCCACCCAGCGGGACCCGCCTCCGGGTCCAGCTCCGCGAACTCCCGCGCAGCGCCCACGGGAAGAACCCGGGTGTCGCCGTCGGCAGGAGCCCCGGCCCAGGAAAGGCGCCGCCGGGGCCCAGGGAGCGCGTGGGGCCGCGAGAGCAGAGAGGAAACTTCCTTTTCGGGCCTGACTGCGGAGGGGAGCTTTGCCGCTTCGCAGTCTTCATTTTCTGCACCTGCCTCTGCGTCCATCCTTCCCTTCCTGGTAGGAGCTTTTAGCCAGACCGGTTGACGCCGGTGCCCATTTATGCAGGGATTGACGGCTCGAAATCAGAGCATGTCGTGGTATGTGTTCAGATTTCAGGACTGTTTCTGGGAAGAAAGTCGAATTCAGGGAAAGGAGAAACGCATCTACAATCTGAACACGAATTTTATTACAATGATTTTATTAAATTTTAATGGTTCATTTCTTATACATAGTTATGGTAGTTTAAAAGTATTGAAAAGTGGATGTATTAAAATTCAGATTATTGTAGCTGTAAACATTTTACTTATACCAAAACCACAATTTGTTAAAATGTACTGGGCTTTTGAAAGCAAATTCAACAATAATTTTGTCAGAATTACTTCTTATCTCATTTTCAATTGAGAGAATTACCATCTTAATTTAATTTTAGCTTACTGAAACAGTTATTGAGAAACAGCATATAAATTTATGATTTATATTAATTCCTTTCTCCATCTCATCCCTAATGCGTTTCCAAATTATAGGGGATATTCTTCCTGTCCCACAGTTTGAAAATAAGATTCTGTGGCAGGCCAATATTTTGATATTTCTTCTTTGATTGACAACAATGATAACCACCTTGTTGGCACATTTTTATGGGGCTACCTCTTTCTCTTTTGACAGAGTCAAAATTTTCATCAAGTGCTTCTGTATGTATTGAGACTGAAAAGTGACCAAAACTTTTCACTATAAAAGCTTCAGTATCACAGGTAAACACATCACACCCTGTTTTAGCAGTGTTGTCTGAAAGGTGTCCAGATATCTAGCAAGTAAGTACATTTAGGTTTCTTTGGTCAGAAATGTATAGAATGCATGGAATTTGTCAAACTTTAACTTTGTGCTAGAAGCCCTCCTCCCTCCCCCACTTGTACAACTCTTAAGCTTTTGTAATTCTGGTGCCAGATTTTGTCTTCATGTATAATTTTTATATGTTCATCAAGGGTTTTTTATCATTAATTCTAATTTTTTTAAAACATTGCAATAATATATTACTTTTCCATATTACTAAGTCACTTGGCACCCCTTCTCTATTTGTATCTGAGGCAGGTTTCTAGCTTGCCTAAATCTAATCCCTACACTGGAAAGAGTTTTTGAAATGAAGTGTTGTGATTTTCCTTGGGTGAAAATTATGTCTGAAAATCAGGGAACATCCCTTTCCCCATCCCTCACTTTATTGTTTTTTTTACAAGTTATCTTTGTCTTTATAACATTGTTTTACCTATACCTTAAACACTATCACCAGAGGTAGTCTGAAACTAAGTGAAATGAGAGTCGCGATTATTTATATCATTTATTTATACATTTCACAGAGTAGCTATGATCTGCCAAACAACTTGCTAAGATTCAGGTGCTCCAGAGAGAGCTTCAGGTGTGCTGTGTGATTTCTCCTCTGTGCTAGGCACAGACTTAGCAACGTAGCCTGGGCTCTGCTCCTTCACATTTCTGCAGACAACCCTTTGTCCAGGAGTTCCCATTTGGGAGGTGCTAATTTCTCTGATCCTTAAGTTTAAAAACACCTGAAAAAATTGTCAAGTAGTCAGTTAAACTATGTCACACCCCAAATACAAAATTAGGTCAGTCTATGTGAACTTCCCTGGAAAGATTTCCATGATAAATATTATATAGAAATAAACTGTACAGTGATGTCTTTGATATAATTATATAAAAGCATATCCAAAAAGAACATTGGTCCTGTAGAGAGTTTGAGATTCCAACCCCTCAACTTTAGTGGAAAGGGGCCACTTTGAGTTCTCACTGAGGCAGTCTTGATATTTCTAAGGCACTGGGACTCTGGGGGGCTCTGGACAGTGTTATTTGCCAAGTCCATGTGGGAACTCTAACAAGGCCAGGCCTTAAATTTGTATAAAGTGCTTACCTGTTTGTTCTGTTCTTCATGACTATGTTATTAAAATATATGAATATTCTCCAGTTAGTAGATGAGATTTGGGGATTAAATATGCAGTTTTCTGTATTAAATATCATAATTGTTACTACCACTGTTATCTTCATGGAGCTGCAGCAGAGAAGGGAGGTCCTGACCCCAGCAGGCCCAGACCACGAGCAGCCCTTGGAAGACATTCTGAGGCTGAGGCTGTGCCTAGGGGATCTGAGGTTCCAAGCTTCTCCTGGCTGGAGCAGCCTCAGAGGCCCCCAGAGCTGAGCCCTCCCCGCTGAACACTGATAGAGGAGCTGGCAGAAGAGTCCCTTTGGCAGGGGCACTGCAGGGTTCCCAACATGTCCAGAAAGCTGTGCTAGAACCTCATATGTGAGGCTAAATCTCCAGCTCTTGTCTTCCAGAAGCCACAGGGCCAGAGCAAGTTTCCTGAGGTGAAACCTATGGTGGCTTCCAATAGACAGCGTAAGGGGGGCATCCCTCAGACTCCTGTCCTTTCTGGTGGCTCTGTCCTAGGACATGCTGTGGATGCCCTCTCTCCAGCTAGCTCTCTCATTTCTCATTCATTTCCCAAATGGCTCTTGAGTACCAACTAAATCCTAAGCCCCTAAGGCTAGTGATAGAGCAGCGAATACCTGTTCTGGAAGAAAATAGATAATTAAGCCAAAAGTCACAACATAGACTAAAATGTATGCCTGGGGAAGTAAAGGCACCTTTCCCAACTGTAAAAGTCCAAGAAGGATTATCCCCTGGGAAACTTTTTTCACTATAACAGGAAGGAAGGAGGAAGGGTGGCAAATGTTTTAGAGTTTGGTAACAAAAAGTTCTCTTCTAATGGCTTTTACGTCCTCTGTGAAGTGGCATCCAGCACATCTGCTGAGGTTGGGGGACAGAAGTTTGTCAAAGTGGAGAATGTTTGAAATCGTTTCGTTAAGCATAAGAGAGTTGACAGTGGAACCAGTGATATAAGTTCCGAAAAACAGGGAGCTTTGTCACCTTTGTTCACTTATGTATCCTAAGTGCACATAGAAGGAACTTACCAAATATATGGGATGAATGAAAGTACGAATTCCATGCAGTATTGGAGATGCCCATTAGTTGTAGACCATAGAACTACGGTAGCACAATATACTCGTTTGTGTAATTTTATCTAGTGGGTGTCCACCACTTACCAGAGGTCAGGCGTGGAAGAGGCAGAGAGTTTGGACTTTAGCCGGACAGGAATGATGAAACAAGAATGACGTGAGGGTGTTTAGAATGTTGCTTAGCTGATGAACCATGAAGACCACTCTGTTAGTTTGCTAGAACTGCCCTAACAGAATGCTGCAGATTGGGTGGCTTAAACAACAGAAATTTATTTTCTCATAGTTCTGGAGGCTAAAAGTCCAAGATCAAGGTGTAGGCAGATTTGGTTTCTCCTGAGGCCTCTCTTCTTGCCTTGCAGATGGCTGCCTTCTTGCTGTGTCCTCACATGGCCTTTCTCCATGTGTGCCCATCCTGGTATCTCTTCCTTTTATAAGGACACCATTTGGACTTCCCTGGCGATCCAGCGGTTAAGACTCCATGCTTCCACTGCAGGGGACATGGGTTCGATCCCTGGTCAGGGAACTAAGGTTCCCCATGCCACGACATGGCAAAAACTAAAAGACAGCAGTCATACTGGATTAGGACCCCACCCTACGGGGCTCATTTTAACTTAATCACCTCTTTAAAGACCTTACCTCTGAATACCATTGCATTCTTAGGTACTGGGGGTCAGGACTTTTGTATATGAATTTGTGCGGAGAACATAATTCAGCCCATAATGTCTACGGGGTCGGGAGAGAGAGAGAGAGAGAGAGAGAGAGAGAGAGAGAGAGAGAGA